GGTGTTGGCTCCACAATGTAGGTGTCAAGACTTTTGATGTAAAATTTCTACCAAAACGAACTCAACAAAATTGTTAACATATGGTGTCGATACCTACTAGGTGGGTAGGCGGTGACGACGTGTTGAGCTTTTGCATTTTCTGTAATTTCTCTAAAGTAAAATTGCACCATATGGGCCTTTATCTTCTACTTAATGAGTACTTTGATCTTATAACCTTACTTTTATTCATTTAGGTCCCTCGTCGGAACTTTTCTTCAGCAAAACAGTCCCTTGACTTTTAAAAGATTTGCACTTAAGTCTTAAAACTTCTATTCTTAATTAGGCATTCAAGTTTTTTCTTACCTAAAGAATGAAAATTAAGTAGAATTCAAATAAACCACATAAAAGCCAATCAAATAATTGTAAACCAAGACTAAGATAATAACATGAATCATATAGAAATTCATCTCATCAGTGTGTTTTAAGATTCAAGCCAAATTTACCACTAGACTTTTGAGATTGTTTGCTTTCATTTATAAATTAGGGTTCCTTTAATCTGTGCGGGCATAAGCTAAGAGCACTTTTTTGGTATTAATTGTCAATGAAAAAATAAAATTTAACATTTATTTAATCAATTGTCCAATTAAAAAATACATATAGCAATAGTGATAAAATTAATGTCAACTTTTGTTATTTTCCATACTAATTAATGTTAAAAAAGTGTATAAATTACATTCTTAACATGTGCCCTTTAGTTAAATCCTATAAATTACTCCCTCTGTTTCACTAGATTAGTCGTTTTGGAGAGAAAAAATTGTTCCTAAATAATTGACGTTTTAGCAAATCAAGATTGCACTAATTTTTTTTGTTCCAAATTTACCCTCACTGATGTTTTTTTATTGATTCCTCTCCCCTCTTTAACTACCCAATTTTGAAAGAGTATAATAGTATTTTAATCTTAAAAATCTCTAAATTCAAAAATAATTAATTAATTTTCTTAATTCTCGTGCACATCTCTAAAACGTCTAATAAATTGGAACAGAAGGAGTATTAAGGTAAATTAAATTAACTTTATGTATTTTTGTTTCAGGAATCAAACCGAATGATGAATTCTATCATATAGAGGACGTTAAGAATGCTATAAAGGAAGGTGTTGGTTTCACTCCTGGGATAGAATGCAATGTTGATTCGTCACACAACCAGCAGTTGTACCAGGTTTACTTGTGTGTGGACACTTCTGGGTCAGAATTCATTGAATGTCCGGTGTTTCCAAGGAGCAAATGTGGTTCAAGAATCCAGTTTCCAAAGTTTTAGATTTTAGATATGGATGCATCAAGGAGACATTTTCAAATTAAAAATTTATAAGTTTGTTTAACATGTGCTTTTAAAGTATGGATTAAAAATATATTAATTGTACTTTTTTACATTTAATTTTTATTGGAAAATAAAAAAAAAAAATCGACCTTAGTTTTATCATTAATATCACATGCATACTTTTAATTGAATGGTTGATAAAATTAAAGTTATTTAAAAATTTTTTTAAGATAATTCAATTACAAAAAAGTATACAATAAATGTGCCTTCATCCTATAACACATATAGAAATTACCAAAATTTATTGAGATTCATCAATGATTGTTACTCACATGTCTTGCAAATAATTAACATTATTATAATCGAACCTTTAGGCCCAATAGTTCGATCTTAAACCTTAAGTGTTTAGGTGAAAGTGGTCGGAGCTTCGAGTTCTACCACCGTCGTGAACTCCACCAAATGCAACCCGATGGTCACACGCTTTATTTGAGGGGATGAAATGTTCACCAATTCTAGTGATCAAATCCCTAGTTGCTAAATCCCTAGTTACTAACAACTAACTCAAACTAACTTCCTAACCATTACCTTGTCAAAAAAAACAAATTAACATTATTCCTTTCGGCGAATAAATCAATGACGGTGGGGTGATCTTCCATAACAAATTCTTTACTAAATTTGAAGTCAAATCAATTTGTTAAAGCTTTTCTTACTATTTCTATAAGGTTTTTTTAGTACAAGTTACATTTTATATCAGATATATCACCTTTTACCAAAAAAAAAAAAATCCATATATATCAACTTATACATATTAGAAATTAGGATATTAATTTTTATACACTTCAACTTAGCACAATCCACAACATACTCCTTAAAAAATTATTATATTTTGATCTAAAATTAAAGTCAAATTAATTTTAAACTATAATCATACATACATAATATAAAAATAAGTTAAATCAACTGTATTTATATTATATTTTAATAATTAAACTGATATGAGTGTCAAAAAGTGAAATGAATTGGATGTGTACGAATAATTTTCCTATAAATTAACAACTTCAAACCAAATTGTTCGCTGCAATAACCTCACTCTATTTTTGATACTTCTCACTATCTTCTCCATTTTTAGCTATAATTATGCTTATGCATTTGTAGAAAAATTAATTCATATCCACAATGAAACTTACAAATAATTTATATTCAACCGAACGAAAATAATTACTACCAAAATTAATTCAACAAAGATTATAAGGGTAAGAAAGTTCTTATAGTGTACAAAGATAACTGATGATATATGCAAAAAGGGGGGAAAAATGAGGCTCAAATTCTTTTCCATACGATAGTAAAAGGCGTAGGATTGAGATTTGATGTAAAGAGCTTGTCACGCCCAGAACCCAAATCTGGAGACGTGGCAGACGCCGTGCACTCGTGAGACGGGTCCCACAAGTGCCCAAGCTCGAAACTTATTTAAATCACAAATCTCAAAAATAAAATCTACCTGACAAAAGGATGATAAACTCTAAATCTTATATCCAATTAGAATGACTAGCCTTCTACCTTGTCACTCCCTTCGGTTTCCCCATCCTCGGTTTCGCTTCTTGAAATGGTGGATAAGGAAAACTATGAGATAAAATATCTCAATAAGTGAAAATATGGATAGCCCTTGGTAAAAATTTAAGCATGCCAGATAAACCATGTAAACATAACAAAACTTTCAATGGTAAACCGTTAATGCAAAAACCCAGTTCAATTCAATAACAAAGTGTTCAAAGACAAACCGTTAATGCAGAAGAAAAATTCAGTAGTAGTCTCATCTATAGGTCATGGCCAGCGTTTATAAACCTCTCACTGACAGGCACAGTAGTAGTACCAGTGTTTAACAACTCCCATTGGCAGGCGTCAGTAATAACCAATGTTTAACCCCATTGGCAGGGTTACAAAAGTACCAGTGGTTAACAAACTCCCACTGCCAGACGTCAATAATGGTACCAGCGTTTAACAAACTCCCACTGGCAGGCATCAGTAATTACCAATATATTATCCCATTGGCAAGATTATAGAATAGACCGGTCATATCAGTAAACATGTTGACATGTGCTAACGTTTATAAACCTCCCACTAGCAGGTACAGTAAAACATGACCATATCAGAGACCAAACCATGCAAGATTTACAGAAAAACCCGTAATTCACAATTAATCTCAAATTTTAGAAATAAACCGAGAAATTTCCATGTGAACATGGATTTATCAGAAAATCAAAATTTACAAAATTCTCAGTTCATCAAGGCGGTTCAGCAAATTCCAAATAGGCATGCTCTACTCCAGAAAAACAATGAAATTCTCATTTTCATTCCAATCATACTCAATTCCATAAAACAATAATTTTCATAAAAATCATCACAATTTTTCATTCAATTTAATCACCATCAGATGCTGATAAAATCAATTTAAAATCAATTTAAACCTTGCCACCATCTCAAAAACAATTTAAAACATGCTTAAAATCGAAGGGCTTTACCATAGTTTACTTACCTCACTCGCATAAAACCGAAAACCGAAGACTCGAACTCAGTGCTAAACTGACAGAATGATCAGGAACCCACAATTTCCCAGCTGCAGAACCAAACCTGGCGGGGGAGAAGCCGGCGGCAAGTGTAGGGGAAGCCGGCGGCAAGTGTAGGGGAAGCTCACGGAATTAACCCAAATTCAAGAACCAAAACAGAAATTAGAGTAACCCAAGCGAAATTAAAAGAGAGAGGATGAATTTCATGGCTGTGGCTTACCCAAAAAAAGCCCAGAAATCGCACCCAACAAAAACAGCTCGCGGACAGGGGAAGAAGACCAAAGCAGGTCTGGAAATTTCTGGGTTTAGGAGGGATTTCTAGGTCCTAAATCTTGTGATTGAACAAGAAAGAAGAGAAAATCACCAAGCTTTACCGGTTTTCTCAAGGGAGATGTCACCGGCAGCTGGCTTCTTTCTCGGGTTGCAGGGGCGAGGAAGAAGAAGAGCAGAACGTGCAAGTGGCTGGGAGGAAATTTCTGGGTTTAAATCTTGTTCTCCATCAAGAAAGGAAAGGGAAAACTCAAGCTCTTTACCGGTTCTCAAGGGGGAAGCTTCAGCGGCTTTAGGGGGGGGACTTTCGGGAGGCAGAGCATCGGGGAGAAGAAGAAGATGAGGAAGAGCAAAACACGTGGCTGAGGAGAGAAATATCAGCCTTCATCCTTATCCTAATTTCTTTTCTTTTAAGTCCCTTAACTTTTGAAGTTTTTAGCTATTAGGCCCCAAAACAATATTTCTCCCCAAATAAGTTCCTAACTTAATTGAAAAAATTCCCAAAAATTTGGGATATTACAGAGCTTGAGTAAAGCAATTTTGGTTTTTGGATACGCAAAGATCGTTATTTCTTAAATTTGTAAAAGTCACAAAATAGCCAAGCTTGAAGAAATTCAAAACAACATGAAAGTTACCTCCAGTCGAACTAAATAGATACGGGTATAATAAGACAAATAGAAAGCTTACCTCCACTGGAACCCAAAGTCTATGAATAAATAAATAAATGAAAAGAGTGAATGTAAATGTGACCCTGGAAGAAAAGTTAAACAAAATATGTTGAAAATAAAAGGATTTGCTGGTTTGAAGAATTAAAGATTTTCCTTGCATAATTTTTGACTTGAGTGGACTTGAAGTTTGGGTTAAAGCTTGTTATTGGCTATTACGACTATAGTAGTCAAAATCGCATTTTAACTCATAAAATCATATAATTTTATCATTTTAGATAGCCAATTCATGTAAAATCAAAGTTTAAATCGAAATCCCATAAACTTGGAATAATAAAATTGTAAAATCATAGTAAAATCATAAAATCGGATGAGATCGAGATTTTACAAAATTATAAGGTTTTACAAAATTAAAAGCTTTTATAGATTTTTGTGGCATAGCATGATTAATAATCACCACTAGTGCAATGTTGGAGCTGTGCTCGAATATTATTTATGAGTTGTTTGGCCGTGGTTCGAATCTTAACCATGTAATTTGACATTTTTAAGTTTTAAAGCAAAAATTTTAAAGTTTTGTCAATTTGTTATAAGTTAAATTAATAATATTTTATTATAAAAAATTTTTAAGGTCAAAATTATTAAAATTTAAAATAATTTAATAACTATAAAATAAAAAAATGTTTAAAAAAGATTTAAAATAATTAATTAGTAATAAAACTTCTTAGATAAATTTTAAATTTAAACATTTAATGTTAAATTTTAATAATATATAAATTTTAAATTAAGTTAGTAAATACTCAATTTTATCAATTTGATTTCACGATCCTAATTTTACCTCACCAAAATCATTTTACCTAAACTTTCAATTTTCACAACCTTTGGTACAACTACAAATTTAACTGACTTCAACTTCTTTCACATGCTCTATGAACTTATATAGTACTCACAAATTTAATTGATTTTTGAATAATGCTATTGCGGCCGAAGCCTGTCATGCTGACAGAAGGTCGAGCGAACGTGGCATTGCCGCGTCTGTTTGATTCCTGGTTCTGAGAAAGGGCGTAACTAATTCAAAAGCCCTAAAGTTTATAGGACTATAACTTTTAAGTCCCTATATATAAAAGATATCATTTAAGTCTTTAAAATCAAACAAGATTACTTTAATTTAGGATATTAGGGTTTAGTGATTGTAATATTAGTGATTAGATTATATTTTTAGGGTCCAAAGTTTAAGGTGTTAGAATTTAAATTTTGAAGGTTTAAATTTTTAAAAATTGAACATTTATTATGTTAATTAGGCTTAAATTTTTTAGGTTCAATATTTAGAAGGTTAGGGTTTAGATTTTCTTTTTTTTTTTGGATTAAGTGTTTATGGTGTTAGGGTTTAATATTTAAGGAGTTAGGGTTTAAATTTGTTGAGTTTTATATTTTATGATATTAGGATTTAGATTTTTTGGGTTATATATTTTATAATGTTTAGATTTTTTTAAAAAAAAAATTAGTGTATAATGTGTTAGAATCTATATTTTCAAGTTTAAGATATAAGGTTTAATATTTAAAAGTTTAGGTGTTCAATAATTTAAAACTTAAAATTGCAGGACCAAAAAGTAAAATTTTAAATTTAAGAAGCAGAAAAAAAAAAACTATAGGGACCAATCGGTTCGAAACCGATCAGTTCCTATAACTAGTTAAAGTATTTAAAATAAAAATATCAGTCTATACACTGTTTACAAGCTGATTTTAAATAATATCAATTATTCAATTAACTATCACAAAATAACTAAATCAAATAGAATTATAATTTTATATGGATTTGAGAACGGAAATTATAGTAATTCTTCTTTACAGGAATTAGCATAAAGATTTTTTTTTCCTTTTTGGAATGGAATTATATATTTTTCCTCGAGTCTGGACACAAATATATGGGATTTGCAATTTGCCAATTTGTATAAACCCCTGCTAAAAATTGGAAAAGAAAACAGCAAACAGTTTCATCTCGAGAACCCAAATTTTATTGATCATGTATACATATTGATTTCAATCATTTGGGTAAGAATTTTCCCTTTCTCTCAGTAATTTGACTCCTTGATATCTTCCTAGCATCAGGAGGGTAGCCATTGGATTTGTTCCCGGAGATTCTATAAATGTTGAACCATCTATTACTCTTAAACCCTTAACCCCATAAACTCTGTATTCATCATCAACTACTGATCCGACTGCACAACCTCCATGATAATGATAATATGTTCTTACCTTTTCCTTGCATATTCTTCTTATTTCATCTGAATTAGAGACCAAGTTATTTTGACGGTGATCAATGCCTAGGAACATAGCAACTGATTCTGACCCTGCTACCCGCCCGAGCAATTGTACCATGTTTACGCATTCCTCCAAGTCCTCCTCTTTAGCTAGATAGTTGAATTTCACTGAAGGGTTTTTCCGAGGGTCTGTGCTGTTTAGTTTGAGCTCTCCTTTGGATACCGGGAATGCGAATTTGGCAGCAATTGGCATCCTTGTTGAGTTGAAGCTGATGGGGATTATTCCTCCTTCAATTATGAATTTGAAATCTTTTGCTATGCCTGCCACTTGAGGAGGCTCTGGTTGGCGGTTCTGTGGTGAAGTGTCCACCAAAATGGCAATGCTGGGATTGTCTTTCATCTCTTTTCCAACCCCTTCTTGATCCAATATAACTGGGATGTTGAACTTCTTTAGTTGTTTACAGGGTCCAATTCCACTTAATAGTAGGATTTGGGGGCTGCCTATTGTGCCTGCTGACAAAATAACATCGCCTGAGGAAGTTGAATTCTTCGGTTGATTTAGGTAAGCTTCATAGGTTTGATCTGTGCTGCCATCACTCTTGATGAAACTTATGCCACGGGCTCTAGTCTCATTTGTGCTTCCTGCAGAATTGAAACGATTAAGATAACATGAGCTTGGAGGATAACAGTACATGTACTACTGAATTCGGATTACTTGGGCTTACCATTGCTATGGAAGATGATGTTCTTCACTGTTGCATTCAAAAGAACAGTAATGTTCTTGGGATTTCCTGCTCCTAGAAGATCAGCAGAGGTGTGTCTTTGTCCCCATATATCAAATATGCTTCCACCTATCTTTGTTCCTTCAATGTGCTCCAAACTATATCCATTATAAGGTAAAATTCCAGCTTCAAGAAGGCCAAATTCAACAACAGATTGCCATGGTGTCAATTCGGGTGTAAAGACTATCCTTGATTCCACCCACTTATAAGCTCCCTCAACTAGCTCCTTGTCCCACCCAGCACGATTGAGAAAATCCTTGCTGGCTCGGCCGTAGAACCCACCATTAATGGCAGAGGATCCTCCAAGTACTCGTCCTCTGCAGTTGCTCACACCATCCTTGGAGATGAACTCATGTGCAACTGAGGAAAACTCATCCATTTGAATCAACGAGAAGCCATAGTATTTTCTATCTAATACCAAGGGATTGCCATAAGGTGAACCACCTCGTTCTATTAGTAGCACTGAGAATTTCTCAGAGAGAGTTGCAGCAAGAGGGCAGCCTGCAGTGCCTCCACCCACAACAATGTAATCAAAGGATTTACTCGAAACTTCCTCTACATCTGAGGTCATGTAGGGAAGTTCTCCTACAATGAGAAAGGCGATCAATGTTATTGCAATGAACATCCAAATGGAAGTCTCCCATTAAAAGGTAACGTTTAATTTGGGTGGAACAGCATACCTTGAGTTGATGGAGGAGTACATACTGAGGAGTCGATCCGCGAGAAGACCAATGCTACAAGCAGGCCTAGACAAAGAATGTCTTGTCGCGACATTGTCTTTGGTGCTTCCATTTTCCGTAAATAAGGAGAGTGAAAGAAGTAAACGTTACATGCGGAAGTTATGTAAGGACATTTAATTATGGAGTCTCTAAGGCCTACTGGGACAAATACATTAAAATTGGTTAGGCATTCATAAAACCCACATTACGCATGGTTTAAGCTAATGATTTACTCTCTTTGTTGCACACCGACCGAAATCATTTTGTAGCCATCATAATTCTCGCTCCTCCAAGTTTTGCTTGGCCTTTTTTCACTTCTTTTTTCTTCCTTTCATCACAATCAATCAACAAAACTGATTTAAAAGACAAGAAACATACAATAGAGAATTAAACAAAGAAAAATTATTGTAAAGTCCGAACAGTGAACCATCAGATGAGGGCGAGGCCCCTAATCCCATGGACGCATAAAGCCTTAGATATCAATTCCCCCAATACTGAATTACCAAAGTATATGTACTAAGAAGATGCAAAGCTATTAACTACAGTACTACACAATCAATATACGTTATACCTTTTTTGGGATGGATATACTTTTCGAAGTTCTTCGAAGTTCATACATATAAACAAAATATAATATAAATTATGAACAAAAGATTAGTTCTTAGGATCATGTTTTCCTGCATAGACTGTATTGTTAAGTCCTTCCCTTTTATAAAGGTGTCCAATAGGTTGATCCATTTCCTTGTCGTTCAAATCTATTGATTTTGGCTCAATGTCATTCTGGTATTGGGTGTTGAGATCAAACAATGTCCGAACAAATCCAGACTTTCTCAATCCTTCACTCCCTTTCTCCTCATCAACTTGCAATTTCTTAGCAAGCGGTTGCTCAACTGATATACCTTCAGAAATTGTACTCCCACTTCTCCTCCTACCACTATTCCATGGCTTATCTTCTAGATGAATATCCATTAATGGAAGCTCAACATTAGGCTGCGGCTGGATACTACCATTTTCATTTCTTGGTTGCTTCTCCTCCTTTCTCCCAGAGCTCTCCGATGATGTCAATGAGCTTTCCATGGAACACATGGTGCCTCTCGTTTGCTTTCTTTCCATGTTTTTCACGGTCGAAGCTCCAGCTTCTGTCAATTCAGAGAATGAAGAACTTGTGCAGCCAGTGTTAACCATGGAGATTACTTGAGAAAGTTCAGCTTTTATGAGTTCTACTCCAGAACAACCATAGCCAGCAAGCGTTTCTTGTGCTTTCTTTAATACTGATTGTAAGTACTTTCCCTGAGCCTCAATTCTCAGCTGTAAATGTCTCTGGACCTGAAATGGAATTGAATTCAATCAGATTCAAATTCAACTATATATATATATGTTTCTTGATCTGATCATACCTCAATCTGTTCATGAAGTTTTCTCTGCACTTCCATTTGCATTTGTAGAGCCTCAGCAACCTTCAAGCTTCTGGGGGAACATAAAAGTTTGGAATCATTATCAAAAAATCAATGTCTTTCTATTATGATTGTAAATCCATATTCATCAAACAGACAAAGGATCAATATCTGTATCCATTACTCATTCATTTGATTCTGGCCTCCATCATTAATCTCCCCACTGAAAGGCCCATCGCTGCTCTGTTTCTCTCTGTAATCTACATCAGAGAAAATGAAAATAAAGAAGAAAAAACTGCTGGTTAATTCCCAATAGGATCAGAGATAAGATCAACGATTGTGCAATAAAGTTCATAATCCCACTTTCTTGCTGATTGTTAATGCAGGGTTCTGTCTGGTGGCTTTTCCCCAGCCTGTATTTCTGCAAAGAGAAAACAGAATAACATTTTCTTCTTTCCTGTTTAGTGAGAAAGAAAACTCTATATAGAACAAAGTTATAATCATCTTGGTAAGAGAAATTTGCCTGTAAGTGGCTCTTGAGGTGGTAGAGTGTAAGTCCAGGAATTCCCATGACCCTCATCAAACTCTTTGGTGTTGCTTCTGCCCACAAAAATCATAGAAATATATGGGTAACATCAAGAAGATCTGATAAGATAACCAAGCTCAAAATATATATAAAGTGACTTAACTGTCTGCCCCTCCAAGCTGATTGACGGCTTCGACGAATCTACAATGAAGTTCAGGAGTCCATTTGAGCCTAGGTTTTGCATCAGTGGACAAGACCAAGTTCATGTTCTGATTCAGCATATTTTCTAGGCCAATGCAATGTTTTGTGTGTGAGAAACAGGCAGAAGACTGAAATGCATATGGTGGATTTTGATCCTTTTCCGAGCTTATACTTTCAATCAGAGGGAAGCTGTAGTTCTCATTTATAAAAAATTAAAAAAAAAAAAATGGAGTTGTTGGGTGTCCTATGTTCTCACCCCATATCTGGAAACATAGGTGGGGTTATATTGGAGAAGGGAATATATGCCATAAGTTGTGTCTCTTCCTTTCTCCCAGCTATCTCTCATTTCATACTTCCTTTCTTTTTTAAAAGAAAATTTTTTTTCTCTCTTCTTTGACTTGAAAGGGGTGTGGGGAGAATCTCTGATGCAGCAAAAACAGAGAAAGCAACACAGTTCAATTTGGGTCTCAAAAGGAGAGAAAAGAGGAAAAGTGCATGGTTTGTTTTTATCTTGCTGTTTTCCCATTCTCTCTCTTTCTCTGCATGATTCCCCTGCTGAGTTAGGTAGCCCCACCATAATGAATAATGGGCTGCAACTTTACTAACACTACTAGAAAGCTTTGAAATAAAAATTCATTAAAAAAAAAAGAGATAAAAAAAATGATGGCAATGCTACAATGGACATTTCCTTTTAGTGACGGAAAGGGCAAACCAAATGGCTCTTCCTTTTTCTTTTTCCTTTAATTTTTCTTCAATTTTTCTTTTCTGAAGAAGGAGAGGAGTGATTGGCAGATTCTTTCTGTTTTTTGTAGGGATGAAGGAATCAAAGAATCTAACCTTAGATTTTAGGACCCAAGTAGCATAAAAAAAGTGAATCATACCAAACATGCCAAAGATAAGTATAAAGGTGGATGAAATCGCCATGTAATCACCTTATATTATAATTCTTCTCTGGAGATTGCACCAAAAAGAGGAATTGACCTATAAGTTATCCAATTCCAGGAGAATTTCGGGCCCTGAGTTTTTTGTATACTGACTGCAACAGGGCCTACTGCTTCCAGCTTCCCACTTGAGTTCCCATCAGCATAAGGATGTCTGAGCCATCCAAATAACTTTGCTGTTCCAAACAACTGCAATCAAAATTGAATTGAATTGAATTGAAATAAAAATTGTTCAAAATATGGTCAGGTTCAGGTAGGACTACACATGGTAACTTCATGAGATAATAATTTTCTGGGACATTTTTTGTTCTTGCAGCATTTTTGTGGGGTTAAGCACATAATTTTTGCATCAGCTTTGCTTTTCTTTTCTAATTGGTGATCAGGCTGAAAACAGAAACAAAAAGTGGAAAAGTTTGTACCTTTATTCCAAGTGAATGCACTTTGGATTTAACTTCAACTGACATCAAGACACCTCTCCCGCAGTGCTAAGCTAAGAAACAAGCAAAGACTTGTGTGGATCCCATGATGGATTTGATTCAAAGCTACACAAAAAAGCATAAAGCCAGAAGCTATCAGCAAGTTTAGATGGTAAAATTCTTGATTAGCTGTCTAAAATCTGAGGAAAAAAGACTTGCTCTCTTCTGAAGCCTAGACTTGAAAGCGAAAAACAAAGGTAAATGTGTGGTTTAACAGAATGACCATTCCATGTTTATTGCATAAAAAGTAGGGAAAATAGAGACAAGGTATGGCAAAGTACAAATAAGGTTGCCTATTTTCATTTAATAAATGGGAATAAGTTAGGACTATCTAAAACCTAGAGGAGATATGGTAATAATTGTTTCCACTTTATTCCCACATGGTAAATGAAAACAAGTAATTTTATGTTCACCTTATTTCTAATTTTGTAATACTCTTCCTAAATTTTGCCCTATATTTGTGCAATATCCATGGAATCTTCATTCCACTGAACCAAACATGACCTACAGCTTCAAGCAAAACATCTGATATGGCTGTGCTACAGTGTAAGAACGGACTTAACATTCCATGTCACGTCCAATGGACACAATGAAATGACAAAAAGGTACATGTAATCAATTTAATACATACTCTCTCTTAGTATCAAAGCAATCCGCGGCACTTGCTTTGCTGAAAAGTCTCATAAAGAAAAATTCCAAGCGGAATGCTAGCTTTATGTCCGCAACAAATATCCAAGAGGAACTGATATAAAGAAATTTCGATCCAATAAAGAAAAAGAAGGAAAAGGAAAAAGGAGACCACAATGACAAACAATAAATCACAGATCAATCTTCAGATGTATTGGGGCTGCGGTCAGGAGTGAAATTGCTGAGAATCAATAACCAATGATTGCTCTCCAAAGTACTGTCATCCCAGTGCCATACAATCAGTTGGTCTGTTGAATTGATAAACCATTTCCCAGGATTCAAAAGCAAG